TCCCCTTGCCCCCTGCCTCTGTAAGTAAGTGCCCCCCTTGGTCCTCGGGGAGCACAACCCCAAACTGTCCACAGCTTCTGCCAGGGCTCCTGACCCCAGATTTGGAAAGTTGGGAATGAAACAGATTATGCCCAAGGCCTCCTCACTTGTCAACCAGAGGTCAAATCAGGAACCCCCCAGTAACTTAGGCGTGTCACTTAATGTCTCCTCGTGCCCCCTCCTCTGCAGGTTTTCAGAGATAAAATGAAATGAAAGGAATTTGCCAAGTGCACACCATCCCCGCATGGTTTTCCCATTTCCCCTAGCTCCTAACAATTCCTCATATTTTCATAGGTGCTTAATAAAGATATTCTCAAATAAACAATGTGACACCATGTTATTGAGCACCTACGAAGTGTCAAGCCATTGACTAAGCTCTGGGACAACCCCCCCCCCCCCGGAGTCAGACAGGTCATCCCTCCCCTCCACAGACTTGCAGAGGATACAGGCACTGGAGTCAATGCCACTCACACCAGGCAGAATGCGACGGGGGGCTTGTGGGAGTGAAAATAAGATTTCTGTGGGGACTTCTGGTCACATCTAAGCCAAGGCATCTTGGCAGGGGGCTTTGGGCTGCTGCTGGTGGTGAGGAAGGGCTGAGGTGTCCAAGGAGTTCCTTAGCTTGCTGGCTGCTGGCCCTCCTCCTTGCCCCCCACCCTCCTTCTCTCCTCCTTGCCCATGCCAGGAGGGCGGGCTAATTTTAGCCTGGCAAGGGCAACAACAGCTGGCCTCCAGGGTTTAGTTACCCCTTGAAGTGTGGTGGGGAGGGGGATCTCAGAGGAAGGTGAGAGTCCCAAATCAGAAGCCCCATCTGGGAGGCTGGGGTCTCTCTAACCCTGGTCTGGCATCTTCTGTCCCTTCTCATCACCTTCGGAGCTCTTGGGGTCCTGCACCTGAGCTGGCTCGAGGCCCTGCAGGCCTTTCATCTTCCAGAGGAGCCTTTCTTCTCTCACTGGCCCTCGGAAGGTTTGGCCAGGCTTCCAGCCGGTTTGCTAATGACTCCCTCTGGCCCTCAGGATCCCCATCTTTACAAGCTAAAGTAGGCACACGCTGAGAGCCTCCCCTTCACAGTTCTCTGACCACCATTGCTGAGACTCTAGAGGGTCTGCAGGGGATCAGCATGCCTTCCGGATCCATGCCTGGAACATCCCAGCCCTGCCCGTCTAAGAGAAGTCCAAGGCTTCCTTCCCAGGCTTCATCCTGGGTGTCAGGCACCATCACATTCCATCTTCAAACATTCAACCTACTGGCCCACAGAGCACCCAGATCAGGCTCCAAAGAGGCCCAGAAGTGCTCCAGCGAGCAAAAAGGGATGGCGTCCCTTCTTGTCCTTACCATGGTTGCTAGTCACAGGGGCTCCTCTGCTGCGGGCCGCCTCCTCTGCACTCCACTACCCGAAGGTGTTCTGGCCTGCCCCAGTCCCTGAGACTTGTAGGGGCACTCTCTCCTCCCACCTCCCTACTCCCCAGCACTGGACACCCTGGCCAATCAGGTCCTGGGGTCAGCAAGCTCCCCTCCCTCCCAGCATCCTAACCCATTGCCTAATTTAGCCAAGGGCCCTTGCAGAGAAATTGAAGACTCGGAGCAGGTGGCAGGCCTTGACGTCCTAGATTCTTGTGAGGAGAACCCGCCCTGCTCCACTGCCTTAGCAACCTCCCCTCAAGAAGCACACCAGCTCCAAGATGGGTAAGGACAATCAGAATAGAGAAAAGCGAGGGTACATAGTGGAATAAGGAGAGCACACTCTTGAAGTCCAAAACCCAAGGTCCACATGTAATCTTGAACAGGTGGCAATGCTGCTCTGAGTTTCAGTTTCCTTATCCATGAGATGGGGGTGGTCCTTCACAGAGAGACCATGGCATACGGGAGCCCAGGTATAAATCCCCTAGCTTGTGCTAGTTACATGGGCTCGGTGCTTGACAAGGGGAATGTTCTGTCTCTGGACCACGGTCAGGGCTGTGGACAGGAAGAGGGGAAAGTGACAGCCACAGTCACTAAACCTCTACAATGTCCCACACACTGTGCTAAGCATTTTAACCTCATGCTGTCTGTCCTCCAGTACTCATCCTGTGAGGTGGCAACTATTATTATTTCTTTTTTTATTGGAGAGCTTTGCAAATCATAAAGGCCTATAGTCATGTCGGTGATTGTAATCATCCTGACTGAGGGGAAGCTGGTGCAGACAGTCCTCACGGGAATCATCCAGAAGGATAAAGGTATGCAGGTCTCCAGGAAACAGGGTGTGTGCACTTGGAGGAGGAATCAACATTGAACTCAGCTTCTTCTCTCAAGTTGACCTTCTCCAGGGAAAGGATTCTGGGGCCAGGAGGGAACCAGGAGAAGTTTCTCTAAGTAGGTGATCGAGTAGACGTCCCCTCAAGGGAGCTCCGTGAGGAAGTCTGGAAGTTCTCAGCTGGCCATCGGGGGAGTAAAGGGGTGGGTGGAGCAAGTCCAAAGGGGGCCCTGCCGGAGGGTCCACAGGGTCCAGGCTGGGTGTTGAGGGGTAGGCAACGCTCACGGTCAAGCAGAAAGAGCACTGAGACGACTGAGTAAGAACCTGGGGCCAGTGAAAGGGGGCTGGACACTAAGGAAGGCAGATGGACAGTGGCAACTGGGCTGCCCTCTTCCCCTATATATAGCCATTCCCAAGGAAAGCTCAGCAGAGCCAGGCCAGGCTAAATAAGGCCTCCCCAGCCAGGCAGAGGGCCAAGGGGCGACCGAACCTGGGGGATTCCACTTTGCACACAAACATTGGAACCAGTTGGTCCCTTCGGAACAGAGATTATGGAACTGTCACCAACCATTTGTTCATTAATTTGTTCCTTTCTTTATTCAGGGAAATAGACAAGGTCCAAACTCAGTGCAGCCCAGCAAGGGCCTACTTGCCTCTCCAAGCTCACTTGCCTTCCCTCCCCACCCCGCATGCGGTTCTGCTCTGTTCAGACTTGAATACTCACACAGCTCCAGACATCAGCCTTCCTACCCGCCAGGCCTTTACACATACTGGGTTTGTTGTCATTATTGTTGTTTTTTCTTCCAGGAATTTCCATCTTCCCTTTCTTCATCTGCCTGTTTTCCTATCATCTTTCTCAGCTGTAACATCTCTTCCTGCCCTGCCTACACCCAGGCCAAGGGAGTCCAAAGTGGTCTCCAGTAGCTTCCTCAGTCATAGCACTGAGCATGTCACATACGACCTGCTCTGAGTTCCGCAGACCAGAGCCAGTTTCCTGTTCACCGTCGCCTTCCCCAGCACTCAGCACTTGTCATTTAGTGAATGTTCAGTAAATATTGTGGTGTTTGTAAGAATAACTGGACTGATGGTCTCTGGTTCAGTATAAAGAGGAAGTTCCTAAGAATCACAGTTGAACAATAATGGGAACAACAACCTCGGGAGGTGATGAGCTTCCTGTTACTGAATGTATGCAAGCAGAAATTTGATGATCGTCTTCTCAGAGGCTGTAGGAAGATAAACATACAGAGTCTAGGAGTAGTGGAGAATACAGGACAGCAGAAGATCTTTTTGTTCTGGACCTGTTTGTTCTGGACCCACAGTAAGCCCCCTCGCCCTGAGCCTCAGACTACCCATCTGGAAAGTAAAATCGCAAGGCCAGATACCTGAGTGACGCTCCTGCTCCGACAACCCATGGTTTTATGAACACCTGCTTTGTACCCAGACTTAGGCATATGCCAAAGTACAAGTTAATATTCAGCCCATGTTTAGTGAAAGAGTGAGTGTTGAGTGAATGAATGAATGAATGAATGAATGAAGTGTGCTTTTTTTTGCCCCCACACCTTGCTGGTAAGCTGAATAAAAACTACTTAGAGCTTTGAAATTATACAGATTTGGCCTTAAATCCCAGCTCCCCTATTTATTTCTTAGCTGTGGACTTTGGGGAAGTCAATTTGCCTAATTTCTTCATCTTGAAAATGGAACACGACTGTGCAATAGCAGGCTCCTTCCCAGCATGCTGTGAGGTGAGATATGACCTCATGTAAAGCACCTAAAACAGGATGTACCACACGATGGAGCCCCGAAAAATGAGAGCCCTGCCCCTTCTGTACATAGGGAGAGCGGAGAGAGCTGTTTTCATCCAAATCCATTCCCCCCAGACCCCTCTCTCCTGTGCCATTCAAAAGGAGTAGGGACCACTGTCTGATTTCATTTGTTCGATTGTGTAACTAGAAATATCTGTCCTGCTAGGGATTGATACCTGGACCTGCTGACAGGAAGCGACAATAAATTCTTCCTGACCTGCTGCGGCCCTCCCTCCAAGAGAAAGATAAAACAGCCCTCCAGAGGGGATGCTGAGGTCACCTTGCCTGCTTTACAGGAAAGAACAGGATGCACAGCTCAGGGGACCTGGGCTGCGTGGCCCCACACTCAGACCTCTTGGCACGCTGTGTGACTTTGGGCAACCAGCTCCTTTTCTGGGGCTCAGTTTCCCCGCTGGCCTGCTTCCTGCGTGCGTGGCTCACCTAAAACTGTAAAAAGCCTGTGAACACTGTAGAAAGGATAATCATGGCACTGATCATATCTGTCAGTTCCTGCTCTGCTCCAGGCGCTGGACTAGCATCCTTGTAAGAGCTACAAAATAGTACTTGTATTAATCGTTCCAGTTTTATATAAGAGAAGACCTAGGCTCAGCAAGGTCACATTCCAACCCAGACCACGTGTCTTTTGTTGGCCTCAGTTTTTTCACCAGAGAGATGGGCTTCCCACTGTCGAATAATGACTTTGGAAAGTTAAAAAGGTGGAAACTGAGGGCTTGATTGGTTACCAGCCTGGGTCTCTGAGAGGGTTAGGAGGGCTCAAGGAGGGTGTGAGCCCCGAGGTTTTGGGGACGATCCAGCAAGAGGCCTGAGGCTCGCTCAGGCCTACCCAGGATTCCAAGTCTCCTGGAGCGAAGGGCCCGGGATTCCCGGGCGGCTCCGGGAGCGGGCGGGGCCGGGGGCGGGGCAGCGCCAGGAAGAGGCCGGAGCGGAGCGCGCTGCAGCTCGGCCCGGCGGAGCCCCGCCGGCTCCAGTAATCCACCCGAGGCGGCACTCGGACCCATCCCTGGGGAGCAGCGCGCCCCGGAGTGCACCGCAGGGCGCCGGAGGTAGAGATGCACCAGGGGGCAAGAGACATGTAGGGAGAGACACGTAGGGAGAGACCCGGCTGCCTCCCGGGAAGTGGGCGGCCCCAAAGGACACGGGCGAGGGGAGGACGAACCCAGCTGAGTCCGGGGGCTCGCAGGACCCCAACGGGCAGGGGTAGGTCCTCCACGGGGCCCCTCCCACCCAACTGGACCCCGCCCCTCCGCGGGGGGCCGGGTTCTAACTCTCGCAGGGGCCCAGGACCCTCTGTCCGGCTCTCCCCGCAGGGTGCCATGGCCTCGCGGCTCCTGCACCGGCTGCGGCACGCCCTGGCCGGCGACGGCCCAGGGGAGGCGGCAGCGGGCACCGAGGGCGAGCAGTTCCCGGAGAGCTCGGAGCTAGAGGACGACGACGCCGAGGGCCTGTCCTCCCGCCTGAGCGGCACCCTTAGCTTCAACAGCGCCGAGGACGAGGACGACGAGGACGATGAGGACGACGAGGCGACTGGCCCCGACCCGCTGCCCCCTGTGGACGGGGCGTCGGGAGAGGCTGCAGGCGAGTGCGGGCGGACAGAGGCAGGAGTAGGCCTCCACCGCAGCGGTGTTCCCGAAAGCATCGGGGGTTCTGAGTTGATCCTGCCCAAACTCCGAAATCTCGACACTTCTTTAAGTGTCCCAACCATCTCTTGGCTGTGGGACCTCGAGAGTCCCAACACTTCTCTGAGCCAAGTTTCCCCTTGTGTCAAATAGGGACATCACCCCTTTCTTAGGGTTGTTGGGACATTATTAAATGTACACAAATGGGACACTAAATGTACGTCTGGGATACAAATGGTAATGTGCTAAGGGATGTTTTGCGGGTGGAGATAGTTATTTAGCGCCTACCGTCTGCCAAGCACCGTGTTTGGCATCTGGCCCCTCTCTGGCCTTCAATTTCCATTTATGACAAACGGGGATAAAGCTGTGTCGGCTTTTGGAAGGAGTGAGGTCATGGCACATGGTTGATGTCGCCTCTGGCCCCAGGCCTACTGATGTGACTGGTCACTTACTCATGCAGAGCGGAACCCCTCACCTGACGCACAGCGGGGCAGTCAGCTCCTGACACGGCAACTGCAGGATTTCTGGAAGAAGTCCCGGAACACCCTGGTTCCGCAGCGGCTGCTCTTTGAGGTGACCAGCGCCAACGTGGTCAAGGAACCCCCCTCCAAGTACGTGGTGAGTGTGGGTCCAGGAACCCCTGGGCTATGAGTCTACAAATCTAGCTAAAAGAAAGTAGGGAAGATTTCAATTCTCTTGGGGGGAAGGGAGCTCGTTGTGTAGTTATAAATGGCTGCCCCCATTTTACAGATGGGAAACTGAGTCTAGAAAGGGGATATAACTTGTGGAAGTCTTCAAGCAAATGATAGCCTCTCTGGGACTGAGTAAAGAAAGGATTATGGGCCTGCCTCCTATCCTGGCTTTGAAAATAAGAGAACGGGTGTGTGTGCCCCACTCACCTCACCCCCCAGGGTTTTGCTAAATGTAGCAAGATGCAAGGTACACAGGAAACAATATTGTCTGGACCAGGCTTGGAGACCCACGTTGCATTGGTTAGTGGTTTTAAAAATTAGATTTTGGATGCCAGCTGTTTGACCTTGGGTGAGTTGTATAACCTCGATGAGCCCATTCCTCATCGGAGCAATGGGGATAATGCAGAGAACTGTCACAGGAGTTAGATCAGACAGTGCACTGAAAGCCCTTAGCATTGTGCCTGGCATTATGAAGTGCTGCAGAAAATGTATAATAAAATAAAAAGTAGCTGTATTGTTAAGTTAGCTTTGGATTGAAAATGTCTGGCATCTAGGGCCTGCTGTGGCCTCCTTACAACCCAGGCTGATCCACTCTCCAGCAACTGCCGTGTATAGAATAAGCTTGTCCTAAGGGCTTCATTTAGGGAGTTGGTGGGGTTGGGTAAGGAGCCCTGTGTGGGGGCGCCTGGGAGTCCCCGTTTTCTTCTCTGTGGGAAGGAGAAACTGACATGGAAAATCAGGTCTGCCAGGTCCTGCTCCAGGCCAGGCCTGAAACCCAGTCTGACCTGGCTGGTCCCGGCGGCTGCAGCTCCCTGCCTGTCACCTCCCTCCTCCATTTCTGACTCAGCAGGACAGGGGCCTGGAGCCCTGTCCCACATCTGGGCCTCACCACCGCTCAGCAACAGCTGTTAGTAAACAAGGTCCACACCCACGGGGTGATTGCTTCAATTTGAGCAGGAACTGACTGGTAATCGAGTCTTAAGTGGCAAAAGTCCTGGCCAGGCTTCATGCACAGGAAGGGGACCCCACGGATCAGTTATCAAGGAGCAGCTGGGACACAAGGAAGTATGGGCGTGACTCTGGGAGAATGACAAGATAGAGCAGGACAGCCAAATATGCCCTGGCTGACGTCTAGAGAAACAAATCACCACCTTTGTCCACTGAGGACCCTAAATCCCAACGGAACTTCTCCTGGGGGATTAGAGCACAGGCTTTAGAATTAGGTCAGCCTGGGTTTGAATCCCAGCTGGGTCCTTTCCCAGCTGTGTGACTTCGGGGCCTCAGCTGTCACAGTGAGGACACCTTCCTTGCAGTGCTGTTGTGACAAAATGAGACTGGCTGTGAAGAGCCCAGCGCCGTGCGAGGCACAGGGTCAGCACTCAGTTCATGGGGCCACTGTCACGATCACCTGTCTCAGCAAGACATTGCAAGGGTCATGTAAGGACATGTAAGGGTCATGTAAGGGTCTCGGCAGGACACTGGAAGAGATGATGAATAATAGATGGTTTGCTGCCAGAACCCCCCAAAATAAAAGCCAGATAAACATAAGGGGTCATTACAGGCCAGTTCTTCCTGATGTGTGTCCTACAGAAAATAGGTTTCCTGGAATGTTAATAACTGTTCCTTTAAAAGAAAAAAAAAAAGACTTTGCAGTTTTTGCAGTGTGTTTGGGGAATGCAGAGTTGAAGAGTAAAATAAAGTGTCTTTACTGTTTGACTTTGTGATCCTTAATATTAAAGTGCACTGTGAATCTTGGAGAAGAGGACAGAGCAGGCAGACCCAACTAGCCACGGGTGGCTACACCACTGGCAGTTTCACAGAGAAAACCCAGGAGAAAGCCCTGGGTTTGCCGTTGGCCGGCCTTTAAAATCTCACCTTCACTAACCCCCTTTTAAAGCTGCTGGCTCAGCGTTCTTACAGACCGCTCCCTACTTGGGTTCTCGGGCCTGGAGGAAGTGTTTCCCCGAACACTGAGGGGTCGCTCAGTACCGCCTTCACAACTCCTGTCCCGTCAGAGTGCTGCTTCTGCCATTCTCTAACATTTGTCTTTAATTCAAACTTCTTTTCCTTATGTGAGTTTAAAAGACAACTTTGTAGGACTACTGTATGTGGAAAGCCTTGCTTGCGATAAAGAGACAATCTCTACAAAAGTAAAAGCAGTGACAAAGTGTCATTAAGTCCTGCCTGGATGCTGTTGCCTGTGCTTTCGGGCTTGCTTCTAAAAATGGAGCTGAGATGCGTTGAAGTGCTTTTTTAAAACCAGCACTTCTCAAGTTTGCGGTCAGAAAGATTCAAAGAGAACTGGAGGGGGAGGCGGGGGGAGGGAATCACCTCCTTCCTCTGATTCAGTGTTACTTACTCCAGCACATACCTCTTGAAGATCTCAGGGCCAACGTGTGTGTGTGCGTCGCACACCTGAGTGAGAACACTCAGGTGTGAGATGCATACTGTGAGAACGCACACTGTGGGTCACTGTGAGAACACTGACCCAGGCTGAGGCTTCCTTCACTGGACAAGGAAGCCGACTCAAGGGGCCTGCCTTGCCTGAAGTCACACAGGGAGGGCAGGAGGAGCTGGCCTGGGATTAGAACTGGAGTCTGAGTCCAGGGTACTTTTCCGTGATCGCCCCTGGGGTGTCTGAAGACCCATCGTCCATGTCTGGACTGAAACGACCTGGCCAGGAATGTGAGCACTCTGTGCTAGAGTAGAACACAGCTCCTACAGGTTGGCTCAGAGGCCCAAGAGACTGGCCTGGGTTTCCACTCACCCCTGGTTTTCCAGAGGGGCTGTGAGAAGAGCTAGTGGCCCCAGTGAGAAGGGAGTACTTTCTGGAAGGGGCAGAAGGGCAGTGGCTCCAGGCACTGAAGCTCATCTCTGTCTTTCTCTCCCTGTGCTGCCTGGGCCTGGGCCATTTCAGACCAGCCTCAGGTAAGACGAGCTGGGCTCCCTGGCTGCTGCCCCAGCAGCCCCCACCTTCCTGCGCCCAGTTTTAGAGGTGAAGGGAAGAGGTGGGGCAGAGCGCTGGAAGTGGGGTGTGGGGAGGGAAGGGGCCCATGGACAACTTGCACCCGCCCTGATCCCTACCCTCCCTGCAGCTCTACACCATCGCCGTGACGGGGCCTGGGCCACCGGATCGCCAGCAGGCCCAGATCTCTCGCCGATACTCGGACTTTGAGCGGCTGCACCGAAACTTGCAGCGGCAGTTCCGGGGCCCCATGGCCGCCATCTCCTTCCCCCGGAAGCGCCTGCGCCGGAACTTCACCGCAGAGACCATCGCCCGCCGCAGCCGGGCCTTCGAGCAGTTTTTGAGCCACCTGCAGGCAGTCCCCGAGCTGCGCCAGGCCCCAGACCTGCAGGACTTCTTCGTGTTGCCCGAGCTGCGGCGAGCACAGAGCCTCACTTGCACGGGCCTCTATCGTGAGGCTCTGGCACTCTGGGCCAATGCCTGGCAGCTGCAGGCCCATCTGGACACCCCGTCCAGCCCCGATCGCCCTCTGCTGACCCTGGCTGGGCTGGCTGTGTGCCACCAGGAACTGGAGGACCCTGGGGAGGCCCGGGCGTGCTGCGAGAGAGCTCTTCAGCTGCTGGGGGAGGAGAGCCCCCACCCTTTATTGGCACCCTTTCTGGAGGCCTATGTCCGGCTCTCCTGGCGCCTGGGGCTGGACAAACGCCAGTCAGAGGCACGGCTCCAGGCCCTGCAGGAGGCGGGCCTGACCCCCACGCCACCCCCCAGTCTCAAAGAATTGCTAATCAAGGAGGTACTGGACTAACCTGGCCTAGATTTCAGGCCACCCTGGGGAGAGGCACTGCCCCCAGGATGGCAGGGGCGGAGAGACTGATGAGGACCTAACCGCGGCTGGGAGGCTGTAGGGGTGCTGGGAACCCCTGGAAGTACCACAAAGAATTTGTGGCAGACCAAGGACACGTGATTCTTCCGTTGAGCTGGGCTCAGGAAAAGCTCTGGCTGGGGATGCCTGAGATGGGGCAGGGAGGGAGTCTGATGCCCTCCCTTCGGCCTATGAAGGATTTGGGGCTGTGCCCCAGGTTGGGGTCAGGGTTCCCCTTGCCTTGGGCCTTCCCAGCCAGTGAAGCAGCCTGGCCGAAGGGCCAAGGACTCTGCCTCTGGACTCCTGGAGTTGATGGCTGGAGGGCGCGCTGCAGTGCTGGCCCAGGGGAATTAAAGGCCAGCAGCTCCGGTGTTAGCAGTCTCTTTATTGGATGTGAAGGACATAAGGCCCCGCCCTCAGCTGTGACTCCTGCATCTGGAGTGGGGGAGGTGGGAAGAGAAGGGAGGTCCTTGAAGCCCCAGGCCAAGCCGGTACCTCTTGCTACAGCTTGTTCCCTAAGACCTGGGGCTTCACTCGAATGACGCCCTCCTGGGCACAGGACACAGCCAGGACCCCATCCTGACGCCACAGCTGCCCACGAACCAGCCCCCGGGAGCCACCTGCAGGTGAGGAGAAGGGTAAGAACAGCCTTTTCTCTCCTTCAGCACAGCCAAACAGGCTTCTGGAAAAGGGTGCAGTCCAGGTTGGGCTGCCCCGCACAAGGGCACACTGAGTGTGTAGTCACTCCCAAACTCCAAGTGCCTTTTTATGAGCCTGGGGTGGTCACTCATTGGGAGTAACTCCTCCCATGGGAACCCAATTGACAATTGAAAAGCACTTTCATATCTTCTCTGGATTCCTCAAAAAGATCAGAGCCCTGGCTGGTGTGGCTCAGTGGATTGAGTGCCAAGCTGCAAACCAAAGGGTTGCCAGTTCAATTCCCAGTCAGGGCACATGCCTGGGTGGCCGGCCAGGTCCCCAGTAGGGGGTGTGCGAGAGATAGCCACACACTGATGTTTCTCTCCCTCTCTTTCTCCTTCCCTTCCCCTCTCTAAAAATAAGTAAGTAAAACCTTTTTTTTTTTTAAAAAGATCACAGAGTGGGGACTTTTAGAACAGCCTTGGACAGTACCTGGGTAAGCAGATCTAAGCTCGTGTTAGGAAACCCATCAGTTCCCTTTACAATAAATCATACCAGTCCCTCAAGGCCGGTATTATAGGAAAAACAGCCATGCCCCCACCCAACCTCCAAGGGTGCAAAAAGGCTCAGGGGAGAGAATCCTGGGCTGTGAGGTCCGGCCACCCTCCCTCCCCACCTGCCGATTTTCTCTCCTTTGCCAGCCTTGGCCTAGCTCGGTGCGTATGATGGGAGCTGCCGGCTTCGCTTACACACAGTGCAGCTCACTTAGTCCTCACTGTAGCCAAGTGAAGCAGGGCTGCTTGTCCCCTTCCCCAGAGAAGCCTGAAATTTGGAGAGGCTGAGGAACTTGGCTTTAAGAATCAGACCAAACCCCAACCCAAGTCTCCCAACTTCAAGGTTGCTGATCTTCTACTGGGATGCTGTTGGTCCTTGAGAGGCCCCCTTCCCTGGGTATCAAGAGTCCCGTAAGTTTGGTCCCTGTCGTACAAAGCGAGGCTTTTCATCATTTGAAAGGTATTTCCTTGGAGAGGAACCCAGGGCTCTGCCACCAGACACTGATGAACGAATGAGTCTGGGCTTCTCCATGTCCGATGAGGAGCATCCAAGTAGGGAGGCCCTTAGAAATTGTTAAGTGCCCCCAGCCCCAACCTCGTTAACCAGCAGAAGCACTTAGGGAGCTTCTTAAAAATACAGTTTCCTGGACCTCTTCCAAGACCTGCTGAGTCATAATGTTAGAATCCGAGCATCTACTTTGACAAAGCTCCCCCAAGTGGCGGTGTGATGGGCCACCAGGTTTGGATACCACTGCTCTGATACAACTCTATTTAGGTTGGGAAACTGAGGCTTGGAGAGGCAATGGGACTTGCCCAAGGCCATATGGAGACTCAGAAGTGGTTCTGGAACTTGAACTGGGTCTCTGAGATACTGTGAACCACAGTCCCAGCATGTTACAGAAACCAGGAGCTGAGCAGGCGTCCTGTCCTCCAGCTTCACCCTGTCATTTCAGAGGCAAGGATGCCAAAGCCTGGGGGACAGGAGAGCAAGTGACCTGTACGGTGCCTCATAGGAATGCACACTCCCTACCACCCCAAGGCCAGTGCCCTTGTCCCACGTGGCCCCACACTTACCAGCCCAGGGGCTCTCGCACTGATAGAGCATCCAGTGATCCGCTCGGAAGGGGGCGTGGAACCACATGGAGTGGTCCAAGGAGGCCATGAAGTGCACCTTATACTGCCACCAGTACGGCAGCAGCGCTGTGTCCAGGAAGGCATAGTCCGAGATGTACGCAGCCACGCAGCAGTGCATCTTGAAGTCGCCCTCCCCTGCAATAGGTCCCAGCCCCATCAGCGCTGGGCTCCTGGGCTTTATAGCTCAGGGCCTGCAGGGAGGTGGGGAGAAAGGGGCTGCCGAGCACAGATGTGCAGACTGTCTGCAGCACAAGGGCACCTGGTGGGGGTGGGGTCTTCAGTCCCCAAGTCTCCCACACAGGAAGCAGTAGACCTGGAGAAGAATCTCAGCAAGGTGCCCTGCCCTGCCCTGCCCTCCCCAGAAAGGGCCCACATTAAGATTACAGTCGTCGCCCATTCTCTCTGTGCAAAAGCCTGACAGGGTCCTGGTGAGAAGCTGAGCCAACTTCCCCATCACACGGATGAGGAAATAGGTCCAGAGAGGAGAAGTAACATGCCCAAGGCCACGTAGGGCAAATGAGGTGCAGGCCGGAGGGTCCTCTTACCAATGTAGCCCCGGGCTCGTACCCAGAACATCTGTTTGGGCTCTGTGTTCTGCAGCTGGTGCAGGGTGACTACGTTTACTGGCTTGATCTCAATGGGCATGTCCTGGGCAGCAATTCGGTTCAGGCCAATTCTGTACCTCTCTTGGAGGGCAGGGTCCCTGAAAGTAAAGTAAAGTGGGGAAGACCCGGAGAGTGGGGGGAGCTTGTCTTCTGAACTGCTTCCTCTTACCCCCTCATTCCTTTTTAGGGGAGTCCAGGGTTAGCCTGAAAATTCCCCTCTGGCAGGTAGGAGCATCAAGTCTTTGAAGCCCTTCTTTGCTTCCAGTGAGCCATGGGGCTTTGTGCAAGTCAGTAACCTCCCTGAGCCTATCCTCCCGTCTGCAAAATGTGGACAATGACAGTAGCCAACAGGATAATGCGCACAAAGCCCACACATCACCGTCCGGGGGCATACCGCCACGTGCACCATTCCAGGCGCTGCACCTGCACGAACTCGCTCTGCACAGCCCTGCAAGTCAGGTGCGACTAATGTGCCCCCATGAATCAGAGCCCAAGCAGCCTGCTCGGAGAGCACAGAGGTCAGGGTCTGGGCCCAGGCAGCTGGGCTCCGCGGTTCACACTCTTCACCGCCTCACACACTCAGGGGCCAGGCTGCCCAACTTGGACCGAGTCGCCTAACCCTGAGCAACTGGAAACACTGCATCCCCAGAGGGAGGAGCCCATTTCCAGGGAAGCTCCTTGGTCATGGTCACGGCCACGCCTAGTGCACATCGGAATTTCCATTTTCATCCCTGTCCTCTCAGGCACTGTCCATTCTACAATGATGGAACGTTCTCTATCTACACTGTCCACCGCAGTAGCCACTGGCCACATGTGGCTACTGAGTGCTTGAAATGTGGCTGGTGTGGCTGAGGAAGAGAACTCTTAACAACAGAAGAGTTCTGATGTTAAGTGTAATGCTATGTGGCTTTCTTATTGGACAGCAGAGGACTAGATTTAAGGACCAGTAAGAACAGTGTCCTCCTTTCACTCCAGCAAACATTTCTTGGGCTCCAACCACAAACTAGGACCTGAGCTTATTCCTCTCCACCAATAGCGGTATAGCTACAATTTACTGAACACTCGCTAAGTGCCTTATTAATCTCTTATCTCATTTAATCCTCACTGCAGCCTTCCTACCAGGTAGGAATTATGATTAGCACCATTTTATGACGCAGGGCGTAGGTTCAGAATGGGAAAGCAACTTGCCCAAACTCACACAGCTAGTAGGGACAGGAACTAGATTTGAACCTAGAGCTCTCCCAGGTTCAAAGCCACACCTGCCCCATCACACCTTGCTGCTGCCCCCGCACGCAGCCCAAGAGAGAGGCACTTGCCCTCGGACACAGCTGTGAGTAGGCAGAGCAGAAACAAACATTTTTTAAATGAAGAAGCAGGGCTCTGAGAGGCCGGGGAGTTGGGCAGAGTCACAGAGCAAATGGGCATCACAGGGCACAGCCCTGGCCGAAGTCCACGCATGCGCCAGTTGGGTATCGGAGCCCAGGGCGGTTTTCCCACGCCCCAGCATTTTTCCAACTTTACCAAGTGCGACCCCACTAAGAAATATATTTTACCAGGTGATATTTCAAATATTTAACATGCACTGGCTGGCGTGGCTCTGTGGATAGAATACCAGCTTGCCAACCAAAGGGTCACCGGTTTGATTCCCAGTCCGGGCACATGCCTGGGTTGCAGGCCAGGCCCCCATTGAGGGGCACGTGAGAGGCAACCAGTCAATGTATCTCTTACACACCAATGTTTCCCTTTCTTTCTCTCTCCCCATCTCTCTAAAAATAAATAAATACAATCTTTAAAATATTTAACATGCACTAAGGCAAAGGCAGCAGGAGGGAGCCTGCCCCTTGCCAGGCATTAGCTCTTAGGCTGCTGGATCATGTGACCTTGAAGGAGGGCGGCGGGACATCACACAGGGACTGGGGAGGTGAGTAACCAAGTAGTTACAGAAGGGTTTCAATATTTTAACGACCAATAAAACTGTACCGTGTACCTGGACTGGCTGAATCGTAAGCCCTGCATGCTACATCATGACCCAGCACACGCACATGTGCAGATACGCCAACACACACAACTGAAACTCAACTTCCACACAAGCATTCTTACCCCACTGCATACAGTACACCCAGCATCTTCTTCCCGAGTCCGTGTTTTTGAATGGTCAAGATGCACTAATGGAATCCGTGACCCACACAGGTGGCAACGGCCCTGTCCTGAAGTCTCCAGGTCTCTCACCTTAGGTACTGGTCAATGAGAGTCTCGTAGTCCAGCAGGTCCTCCGGCGGGGGCACCGTGGGCATGCAGAACTGGTGCTGGAGGGGGCTGGGCTGGGCCCGCTGGAAGGAGGCCTGGCAGATGAAGATGGGCTGGCCGTGCTGCACGGCCTTCACAGAGCGCACTGAGAAGCTCGCCCCTGTTCGCGTCCGCTCCACGTGGTACAAAACGGGCACCTTCGGGTCCCCTGCAGGGGGCACAAGGGACACGGTGAGCCTGAGTGAGCCCCACAGACCCTGTCATCATCGCAATGGCTGGACAGGCACTGCTGCTACTTGCTCTCCATTCGTTTTCTGCTTGGTGGCTACTGACTGAGGTTGGCAGAGGCCCAGGTACTGGGGACAGACAGAACACCAGACCCTGTCCTGGGGACGCTTGCTCCCAGTGCAGGGGAAACCCTTCTTTCTCAACAGCAACCAACAGAAGGGACATGGCCAGATCCCCTGCATTCAAATCCCAGCTCATGGGCTGTGTGACCTTGGGAAAGTCACTTAACCTCTCTGAGCAGTTTACTCACTATAAAATGAGGATCATCATACTGTTTATAAATCTCAGGATTTTAATGAGAGTTAGTTCATAATTATAAAGTGATTAGAATAATATCTGACACATAGCAAGTGCTCTGTGTTTGTTAAATACAATAAACACTCCTAGCTTTTGCCTTGTTCCATCTGTGACTGGGATCTTGCCATGCATGAGTCCAGTACCATTCTGTGTCAGGGGTCAGCACATCTGTCCTGACACCTGTTTGCTTTTTCTTTTTTTCCTTCCTTCCTTCCTTCCTTCCTTCCTTCCTTCCTTCCTTCCCTCCTTCCTTCTCCCTCTCTCTCTCTCCCTCCCTCCCTCCTTCCTTCCTTTCAAGAACAAGCAAAGGCTATCATTCAGAGTTTGGTATAGCAAGGGAGTGAGCTGCCATCACTACTGCTTGGCAGAGACTCAAAGGCAGGCAGAGGAGTGAGCAAGCTTTCTCGTGAGAAAAGTTTTCAGATGCCCCCTGACTGGAGGCTGTTGCCATGGGGAAGCTGTGAGGCAAGCTAAGTAGAAGCAGGGGATACTTTATCATTGGTTAGGGGCCCATGTGTGGCTTTCTGTAGTTCGTCCTAAGTTAGCATGGGCAACAATTAGGGAAGCCGTCAGTCATTGGCCAAGTCCTGGCTCTTCGGGGCAGACTGTTACAGGGGCTGTGGTTTGGCTTCTGGACTGGTTGCTACAGATGGCGGTTTCAAACCTGACATAGAGATGTTACTTTGGTTTTCTGTGCTTACTGATTCTAGTCATGGATCCAAGATCTCTTTTTATATATGGTCTGGCCATTGTTTGAATACTCATTTGCTCTCAGGAAAGCCTGCGCAGTCAGTCATTTCCTCCTTGATGCAAGTGGCAGTCTGTCGGTCTTCCTTCGGGTCTTCTCTCCTAGTGCAGGATGGATGGCCCTGGCTGCAGGCTGAGGACTGTTAGCCTTGAACAATGGACGAGGCCGGTGGGGTTTAGAGGGAGGGAGTCTCCCTGGTGTTCCTGAAGTCCTTCACTGTCTCTCTGAGTTAGGTCAACCTTGGAGAACTCTGACCTTGGTCGACCCTGACCACCAGATAATATGATGTCTTGAAAGAAGCCAGATCTAGAAAAGTGTCACTTCCCCCACCCAGAGCCAAATGGGGAGCCAGTCAGACACTGCAGGCTCATTCAACGGCAATAAACTTCATTGTGGAGGCCTGTGGCTGCTGGTCAGTCTGATATCTGGCATTGCCACAGGGGCACTTCTACCAGAATGGGGACTCCTCAAAATCCAAGGCCTCTGAGAAGGGCTTTCCAGAGTCCAATGCTGGAGAGAGAGCCACAGTCTGACTTCAGGGGCAGTCTGACTCCTCCCTTACCAATGAACTTAAATTAGTTTTCATCTAATCCTTGGGCTAATGCAGTACTTCTAGTTACTAGTGCTTTACTTTTCGGTGTGAATGAGTTCCAGACCTATTCTTGGAAATTTTTGCTGGAACAGAGAAGGTAGGTAAGCTCTGGAGCAGCACATTGAAGGTAGGATGCCAAGCAGCAGTAGTTCCTAAGACATCTGTTCTCACGTGGGTCTCACAAAGACTATGCAGACTACGTCTTATTCCCATTTTAAGGATGAAGAAACTGATGCCATAAGTAACATTTTTTTTTGGAAAACGGCCAAGCCCATTTGTTTATGTTGTTCTTTAAGAAAAAAATGCCTCACCCGAGAATATGTTTATTGATTTTTGGAGATAGAGAGAGGGGGAGAGAAAGAGAGAGAGAAACGTCAGTATGAGAGAGAAACACTAACCGGTTGCCTCCAGTACTTGCCCCAACTGGGGATCAAACCCGCAACCTAGGTATGTGCGCTGACGGGGAACTGAACCCACAACCTTTTGGTGTATAGGATGACAATCCAACCAAGTAAGCCTCTCGGCCAGGGCTCCCATCTGTATTTTGTTGATTTTGCCAGCATAACCTAAAATATTTACTATCTGGCCCTTTGCTGACCTCTGCTCTAGATTCTCCAAGACTCTCACCCTATGCTGAGTCAAATGACTTCTGTCCTACAGCTCTCTACTTCTCGAGAGAAATACTTTAAAAAAAAAATACAGCCCTGGCTGGTGTGGCTCAGTGGACTGGGTGCCTGCCTACAAACCGAAAGGCTGCTGGTTTGATTCCCAGTCAGGGCATATGCCCCTGGCTTGCAAGTCAGCTCCCTAGTTGGGGGTGGGCAAGTGGCAACCATACCCTGATGTTTCTCTCCTTCTCTAAATATAAAAAAAATAAAATCTTTTTAAAAATTAAAACAACAAAAAAAAACAGCCCTGGCTGATATGGCTCAGTGGATTCAGCACCAGCCTACACACCAAAAGGTTGCCAGTTTGATTCCTGGTCAGGGCACATGCCTAGGTCATGGGCCAGGTCCCCAGTGGGGGGAAGGGAATGCAACTGATCAATGTTTCTATCACACATCAATGTTTCTCTCCATCTCTTTCTCCATCCCTTCCCTTTCCTCTAAAAATTAATAAATAAATTTTTTTAAAAGATTTTATTTATTTATTTATCTTTAGAGGGGAAGGAGAGAGGGAGAAACATATATGTATGGTTGCCTTTCATGCATCCCCTGCTGGGAACTGGCCTGCAGGGAACCGGCCTGCAACCTAGGCATGTGCCCTGACTGGGAATCAAACCGCGATTCTCTGGTTCGCAGGCCTGTGCTCAATCCACTGAGCTACACCATCCAGGTCCTAAATAAAATATTTAAAAAGACCCTCACTAACATTCTAGCCTAGGCTTTCAGAAAAACAATTGATATGATAAAAGGCCAAGGACCAACAACCCTCCCTAACATCTTTTAACTAAAAATATCACCAGAGCCTTGGTCAGATGGCTCAGTTGGTCGCATTGTCAACCTGCACCCAAAAGGTTGCAGGTTTGGTCCCCGGTCAGGGCCCATACCTAGGCTGTGGGTTCGAACCCCAGTTGAGGTGCATATAGGAGGCAACTGATCAGTGTTTCTGTTTCTCTCCCCCTCACCCTCTCTCCCTTCCTCTTTCTAAAATCAATAAACATATATCATTAGGTGAGGATTTTTTAAAAATATGTCATTGGATCATCATCCTTCGTTATAATATTTAATGTACCCAGTACAGAGTCACATTACAAACTGATGTCAAAAAAAAAATGGAGACAATTTAAAATGGAGCTGAAGCTGCCATCCCAGAGGAACTGCCTTGCACTTCTTATGCGCCAAACCTCTGGAACGTTAAAACAGGGCCCAATAGCCCCGGCGGTGTGGCTCAGTGGATTGAATGCTGGCCCGAGAATCAAAGGGTTGCGGGCCAGGTCCCCAGCAGGGGGCGTGGGAGAGGCAACCACACATTGATGATTCTCTTCCTCTTTCTCCCTCCCTTCCCCTCTCTAAAAATAAATAAGTAAAATATTTAAATGAACATAAAAGTTAAAAAAAAACCAACAGGCAAAATAGGCCTGGCCAGGTAGTTCAGTTGGCTAAGGCGTCAAGGTTGCGGGCTTGATCTCCATGCAGGGCACGTACAAGAAGCAACCAATGAATGCATCGATAAGTGGAAGAACAAATCAATGTTTCTGTTTCTGTCTCTCTCACCCTTAAATCAATGTTTTTTGAAAAAGAAAAGCCGTGGCTGGTGTGAGTGAGTGCATTGAGAGCTGGCCTATGAACTGAAGGATTGTTGGTTCAATTCCCAGTCAGGGCAAATGCCTGAGTTTTGGGCCAGGTCCCTAGTCGGAGGTGTGGTATTTCTCTCTCACACTGGTGCTTCTCTCCCTCTCTTTCTCCCTCCCTCCCCTGTCCTCCTCCGTCTCCCAAGTCAGGCCTCCCAGACCAGGAAGAAGCGCCTGCTGGGTCACCAGGGTTGGGCTGGGAGCAAGGAAGGAGCGGCTTACCTGCCCGCACAAAATAGCAGTGCAGGGAGTGCACGTGAATGTCTTCACTCACAGACTTGGCTGCAGCCACCAAGGCCTGGCCTATGATCTGGCCCCCAAACAGCCGTTTGCTTATGGGTACCCAGTAATGCCTTCCTCTGTGGGAAGAAAGGGAAAGCAGGAAAGACTTCAGGGCTGGACCAAATCCTACAATGATCAGTTACAAATCTCTTAACTTCATTGGGGCTTGGGATCCTTCTGAGAATCTGGTGAAAGCCCTGGGCCCTTTGCCCAGACGAATGCTCTTATATCATTCTGCACACAGAACATATATCTCCAGGGCCTTCAGGATTGCCTGATCCATCTGCGGACTTTGTTCCAGGATAAGAAACCAACCCCCATATTTTATACTAACAGGGATCAAAGAGGAGAAGTGGCTTTAGTAAGGTCACACAATTGCTAATACTTAGCAGTATCTGGGTCTTTGGACCCCGAGTCTGATTATTTCTTCCACTGCTCATATACCAAGGTTCGGCAGAAGCCTCTCAAGGCTTTGAGTGGATGAAGGTGAACCGCAAGAATGAAAATGAACTGCATTTAGGCTTGCCACATATACCCCTCAACTTTGACAACCCAAGAACTAGATTTAGAGCTCAAAGGGCCCTCAGACTTCAAATATAACCCCTTCAGTATGAAGATGGGAAAACTAAGTAGTCCCCAGAGGTGAAAAGGGATTGCCCAGGGTGGGACCCTTGTGGATGCTGAAGGGTTTGGGTCTCTTGCTTTCCAAGGCCACACCCAAGTTTAGCAATTTTATAGAATGCTTTTGTTAATAACCCTCCAGGAAGTTATTTGTGATTCCTTAAATTGGGGGTAGAGAAGTTAACACTCAAAATAGCTCCCAACAAGGGGCCTTGAAGACCAAAACTGTTAAATCCCCAGCTGCAGTCAAGAATTTACATGGTGTGGGGAAAGAAGATGGGTCAGGCTTCGGAATGAGTAAGGAGCTACCACACCTCAACAAGTGGTGATGTGGCAAAGGATAGATAGTGAATTTGCAAGGAGCTGAGGGTAAGTTTTAAACCCGATTATCTGCGTGCTCTTGGACTAACCGCAGCCCTTTTGAGCCTGGTTCCGAGGGACACAAGAAACTGCTGAGAAGGACATCTCAGGTCACCACTTTATTAGCCCAGACTGCCAGTCCTCCTAGGGGTGGCGCTGCGCAAAACCGACGTGGAGAGGGAGCAAGCCCGGGCAGCAAGGACAGCTCTGTCAGGCACAAGTTCTCTCCCGATCCGTCACAGAGCCTATCCTCTTCCAGGAGGCTACATACAGAGTGGCGGCCGTAGCGATCAGGAGCCTCTGTCCTAATAGGGAATGCGCGCCAGATTCGGCCGGCTACCTGAAGAGATCTTCGTCCAGCGGCTCGAGGTTGAGCACGCTGGTGACCAGGACGCTGCGGAGGTCCCTGGGGACATCGCCACCGCCCTGCCCATCCTCCGGGGACTGCGTGGAGGTCATGTCGATCACTCGCTGCCGGCCGGAAACACTGCACTGAATCAGACTCCGGGAGACCAGCCCTGAATTCGCAGGTCCCCGCAGCCAGCTCAAGTAATCGGAAGTCTGAGCAATGAGAATAAAGGATACAAATTATGATTGGTCAGTGTTCCTGTCAGTCTTCGGGTGTGCGGCTACTTTTCTCTAGTGATTGGATAAAATGAGTATCAGTCTGGAGATCTTACGTGTGATTGGATGTAACTGTGGTGGGGCGGAGCCTAGGGACTGGGTAATGAAAGCGGAGCGTCATTTCCCCTGAATCAGAGAGCAAAGACGTCCCCCAATCCATTTCACCCGCTGAGACTTGCGTTCCTCCTGGGCTCCGTCTCAGGCCACCCAATTGGGGCCGACCTTGAAGGCGTTCTGGGTCTACGCCAGCCTGTAGACTCTTATAGTGTGACCTCCGACCCTGGTATTTGGTCTTAGCCCAGCCCCTGGAGTGGGCTGAGGGGGCAGCTATGGAGCTGGGCAGCTGCTTTGAGACCTACGAGGACTTCAAGAAGTGCTTCAGCATCTACAAAAAGGAGAACAGGTGCTCCTTCATTCTCAGGGACCGCGTCTCCGTCCGCTTCCACAACCTCAACCATGGCACCTCTATCCGTGAGGACATCCTGTAAGGGCTGGATGGGGATGGGGCAGGAGGGTGGAGAGGAGGCCGGACAGTCCCTTGGAGGGCGGCCTGGAGGAGGAGGGAGTGCAGTTGGGCCCTTGTTTCTGGAAGCATTCACCAGGCACTCATTAAACACCTACTGGGTGCCTGGTGGAAAGAGAGACAAACCAACACAAGCATCAGTTTTTGAACCCCCATTTCACCACCTTCGCTCACTCACAGTCCTTCATTCACAGCTTTTCTGGAATTCACACTAAGTGCAATTTGTCCCATTTTCTGAGCACGTGCAGTATACCAGACACAAAGTATGGCCTTCACAAATAGGTAAAAATTGCCCTGGGGATAATTGCCTTCATCTCTCTGTTTACAAAAAAGTAATTCGGTCACTTGGTTGGTTCGGTTCGTTTATTCATTCATTCGTTCATTCTTGAGCTCCTGAGATTAACAGCCGTTTTTCAAACAGTTTTTGTGGCTTAAGCAGCATTCTCCAGTCTGTGCATTTCAGGGCTCAGGTGAAACCACCTAGTGCGAGAAAGTTTCCTTTTAATTTTACTGCAAGAAAAGTGATGCAATTAACAGCCAACATCATGGTCTTTGTGCTAGGGACAGCAGACACGTGGATGGGGTAATGTGAAGACCAGGCCCTATAGAATCAACTCCAGCTGATGGCCACCATGTGAAAATAAAGACCCAGTGTTGCCAGAATTTGGAACAAGACAAGTCAGAAATCGAGTCTATATGTGAATTTGTCCATTTTTTACAAATTGGAAATCAGTTCACTTTGAACACACACTACAAGAGCCAACTCCGAGGGTCAAAGAACATCTGAGACCTGGATCCAGATGTTTGGCCAAAGCTCCCATTCAGGGAGGCAGACTACGTTCTTTCCCCTGCTCTGAAGTCCATGGCCATGCTGAGTGCAGATAACATAAAGATGAATAAGAAACCAACCTACCCTCAAAAAGCTTATGATGGGATAGATTTTACTACTCCAGTAAACTGAATAGTATGTGATAAATGCTTTAAAAGAGATGTGCACAGGGAGTGACAAACACCTGGGAAAGAGAGAAAGGCTTCATTCTGGAAGTGATGGTTTCCGGTGAGCCATGAATGAATGCAGAGGGTTAGAACAGGAGCTCAGTGGTTAATGTCTGAGTAGCATGGAGGAGTTTGACCAGAAGTTCCTGTGCAGAGGGAACTATGAAGCAAGGTCCAGGTATGTGAAAGAAGGTGGCATGTTTAAGAAATAAGGTGGGATGTCGTGCTTGGCAGGAGATGAAGTCAGTTGCAGTCTACCTGAGAAGGCTTTGGGTACCATTGTGAGGTGTTTGGACTTGACCCTTTGTGAGCACCTTTCTAAGCAGTGAGAATGACGCAAAAACATGCACAGTTCAGGTCAGATAAATGCAGTGACCTCCCATTGTCCTCAGGATGGAGCCTAAGACCTTTAACCCAGCCCTCCAGACCATCTGACTCCCTGACTTCACTATCTTGCACTGTGTGCCCATCCATATAGAGTCTTCTCCATACTCAGCCCCTGTCCCAGGCCCACGGCTTCTTGGTTCTTACACTTACCATGTCCATTGGTTAGAATGACCTAGCCCATCACTTTTCTTCTATGGTAGTAATTTTGAACACTATCACCTCAGTACTCTATATCCTGTACTACAAGTTACATAGCATTTTTCTTTAAATTCAGTTTTAATATTCAAAGAAATCTGTTTTAGGCCCACTTTAAGCAACAGTATGTAAGAGGTAACGATATAGTGGCCCCCTAATGGGATATATTTGTATATAACTGGTTTTTTGTTGTTGTTGGTTGGTTTTTAATATATTTCACTGATTATGCCATTACAGTTGTCCTATTCCCCCCTTCATTCCCCTCCCCCCTGCATACCCCCTCCCCCACCATTCCCCCTCCTTCGTTTATGTCCATGTGTCACAAGTTCTTTAGATTCTACATTTCCAATACTATTCTTGCCCTCCCCCTATCTAATTTCTACCTACCATCTATGCTACTTATTCTTTGTACCTTCTCCCCCCTTCTCCTCCCACTCCCCTGTTGCTAACCCTCCATGTGATCTCCATTTCTGTGGCTTTGCTCCTGTTTTAGATGTCCACTTAGTTTGCTTTTATTTTAGGTGTGGTTCTTAATAACTGTGAGTTTGCTGTCCTTTCACTGTTCATATTTTTTATCTTCATTTTCTTAGATAAGTCCCTTTAACATTTCATATAATAAGGGCTTGATGATGATGAACTCCTTGAATTTGACTTTATCTGAGAAGCACTTTATCTGCCCTTCTATTCTAAATGAAAGCTTTGCTGGATAGAGCAATCTTGGTTGTAGGTCTTTGGATTTCATGAGTTGGAATACTTCTTTCCAGCCCCTTCTTGCCTGTAAGGTGTCTTTTGAGAAATCCGCTGACAGTCTGATGGGAACTCCTTTGTAGGTGACTATCCCCTTATCTCTTGCTGCTTGTAGAATTCTCTCCTTCATTTTAATCTTGGCTAATGTAATGATGATGTGCCTTAGTGTGTTCCTTTTTTGGGTCCAACTTCTTTGGGACTCTCTGACCTTCCTGGATTTCCTGGAAGTCTATTGCCTTTGCCAGATTGAGGAAGTTCTCCTTTATTATTTATTCAAATAAGTTTTCCACTTGTGGCTGTTCCTCTTCCCCTTCTGATACCCCTATAATTCGGGTGTTGGAACATTTAAAGCCTTTCCTCATTTTTTTCAATTCTTGTTTCTTCATATTTTTCTGTTTGGTCATTTTTTTCTTCCTTCTGGTCCACTCCCTTGATTTGAGTCCCAGTTTTCTTTCCATCACTATTGGTTTCCTGTGCATTTCCCTTCATTTCAATTAGTTTAGCCTTCATTTGTTCCTGTAATTTGTGACTAAAATCAACCAGTTCTGTGAGCATCCTGATGACCAATGTTTTGAACTGTGCATCTGATAGGTTGGCTGTCTCTTGGTTGCTTAGCATTATTGGCTCTGGGGCTTTGAGCTGTTCTTGAGCCATAATGTTTTGGTCTGTTAGCACCAGTTACATATGAGGGGCGGAGCCTTAGGTGTTCACCAGGGTGGGGCCACCCAGGTCTCTGGGTTGCGAGGCTGTATGTGGGGGCGGGGTCAGAGAGGGGCAATGGCTTTTGTTCCACTCTCTCTCAGATTTCTGTTCCCTCTGCCACTTCCCACAAGCAAATTGGGCCCTTCTGGTGCTGGTTCCCGGGTGTGTGGGCTTGTGTACCCTCCAGGACCCTGTGGGTCTCTCCAACGAACTCTCCTGGCACCTCAGTCCGGGAAGTCTTTCCAATTGGTGCTTTCAGGCTCTAATTCCCATCACTGGGGCCCTAGCCTGAGCAGTCTGTCTCACTGCTCGCTCCTTTGCCTGGTTTATCTGCACTTGAATGTGTGACCGTGGTCAGCCAGCTGCCTTGCACCCACACTGGGTCCACCCGTTGCCACCCCACACCTGGGATCCACCAACCACTGCTTGTGCTTCTGAGTCAGCACGGCTGATCTTTCCTGCCTGACCCTGCTCTGTTGCTGACTCTGCCCCTCTTACCAGTCTGGCTGAATGGTTAGTTATTGTTGGACTTCCATACAGTTCAATTTTCTGTGTTTTGGTTGCGTTTTTGTTATTAAAACTTTGTCGTCTTTAAACTTGGTTGTGCAAGGAGGCAGTGTTTCCACCTACGCCTCCATCTTGACCGGAAGTCTCTAACAGCTTTTAATAGCACTTACTAGTCCATTCAATGAACTTCTAGTTAAAGGTAAAATGTTGACCCCCAGGTGTTGAGCCTCAGCACAAAGATGGGTAAACGGTGGTCTCTACCCTTGAGGACAGTAGTGGACTGGGCTTGTTTATGAGGGAGTGAATTCGTAAGCAGCCCAGGCCTTCAGCAGAGACTGTTATAAAGAATATTCTTTTTTTAAATATATATTTTATTGATTATGCTATTACAGTTGTACCATTTCTCCCCCTTTATTCTCCTCTGCCCTGCATACCCCCTCCCACCTGCACTCCCCCGCTTTAGTTCATGTCCATGGGTCATACGTAGAAGTTCTTCGGCTTCTCATTTCCCATACTATTTTTATCCCCTGCCCCCCCATCTATTTTCTCCCCACCGTCTATGCTACTTATTCCCTGTACCTTCTCCCCCTCTCTCCCTCTCCCACTCCCCCGCTGATAACCCTCCATGTGATCTCCATTTCTGTGGTTCTGTTCCCTTTGAGTTTTTGCTTTTGTTTTAGGTTTAGTTGTTAATAACTGAGTTTGTCATTTTACTGTTCGTATTTTTATGTAAAGAATATTCTTGCACAGTGTTAGGCTTTCTGGCTGGTACATGACTGTGTAGAATGAGCGCTTCTCGTGTGGGACCTCAAGGAGGGCGGGGGAAATGTTTTTAGGAGAAAATTTAGTGCGGCTCAGCATTTCTTGCAACCATTCATACCACAGGTGGACAGGTGAGGTTATTTTAACAGTAAATATTTATGTTAATATCTAAACCCAGATCCTTGTTATATAGAGTGAAATGAGCTGCTTTAAAGCAAACCATTTGAAAATAGCAATGCATATTTTACACAGGTGGGTAGGGCTGGCATGGATGGTGGTCTGTGATTCCCAGAAGTTCAGGAAGAGCTGGCATGATGGTTAAAAGTGAGCGCTCTCTGCCCTGGCCAGTGTGGCTCAGTTGGTTGGAGTGTCCTATAAGCAAAAGGTTGCTGGTTAGATTTCCAGTAAGGACACATTTCTAGGTTTTGGGTTTGATCCCTGGTCTGGGTGACGAATACAGGAGGCTACCCACTGGTCCATGCTTGTCTCTCGAGTAAATGTTTCTCTTTCCAAAAAAAAAAAAAAGGCAATGAAAAACATGTCCTGAGGTGAGGATTTAAAAAAAAAAAAAAAGGAACCAAAGGCAGGAACTCTGGAGTCTGAAAAACAGGTTTTACCCTTGACCTTGGACAAGACTTCTTAAAAATCTTGGCCACGCAGTGTATTCCTCTGTAAAACAAGAAAGTTGTGGTGAAGATTAAATAAGAAAATACACGTAACCGATGTCACCTCGATCAATTCAATTAAAGCAAGAAAGAAAACACGTGTAGTGACTGAAACATAGTTCTCAGTAAATACTTACTGAGGTCATAACTGTATTACGAGCACATGATAGAAAGTGGTAGATATTTCAGAGGCGAAGACATGTGCTGTGTGTTACCACTGAATGAGCAAAAGTCTCCGTCGGTGGGGAGATGCTATAGTTTTATATGTGATTTCCTACCCCATGCTGTTTATATATGGCTGTTCCTGGCTTGATATTGTGTGGGGTTGTTATTCTTTAAACAGACCAGGAAGTATTCTTTTTAATTTTCTTTTTTCTTTTTTTATTCTAACCTTGCTCTGGGTGCAGCGAGGCAAGGCCTCAAACCGTTTCAGAATGTTCTAGCAAGCTCTGCAGACCAGGGAGTATTCCCATCTCTCTCCATTGCTGTTCGGTTTCATAGCTGCTTTTTTTTTTTTAAGGAAAGTTGGCTGATACCTTTATTGCTTCAGGGGAAGGGGTGCTCCTGAGCTCCTGGTGGGGTGGCCCGCTCCCTCTTCACCATCAGGTGAGATGGCACTGGCCCTGCGGATGGAGGGCCTGCGCAGATCCCAGCGGTACTTGTTCTTGCGAGTCACGTGCCCGGTGCTGCTCAGGGTGGCCCTGGCATTCTTGCGCATGGCGGTCCGCTCGCTGGCCCATAGGAGGTAACTGGCTTTTGCGTGTGATGACCACCACACCTTTGCCGTCAGCCGCTGGCTCCCCCACCACCATCTTGCGTTGAATTGGCCTGTTGTGTTAAAAGGAGTTGCGGGCCTTCAGATGACTGGGTTCGGTGCTGCACGTCTGCCTGCTCTTCCTGATCAGGAAGCTGGAGCAAGTCTGTACAGCATCCCCTGCAGTGGGGCAGGCGGCAGCTCCTCGCTGCAGCGGCGGCAGGTTGAAAGAGCAGTAGTGACCTCTTTTGCACCCTGTTTTGGAATGCCTTCCACTCTGCTGAGAACTTGAGAGGCATTATTTTGTTTAATCCTCATCCACAGCCTTCGAACTAAGTAAACTCTGTTATCTGAGCTTGCCTTTTACAGGTATCCACTGTCACAGGGCTGTTAAGAAAGCACAATTCATGACACAAAAATCTTGCTAATACACTGGCCACTTATAAAATGAGTCACTAC